ACACACATACACACACACTTTCATTAAGCAAACCCAACTCTTTAAGTAACTTTAAGTTGTACTCCATAGGCTGTTGCCTGAGGAAAAATTGTGGAAGGCCTCAGGACTTTTCTGGTCACTCACAGATAATCAAAGTTCTTAGATGAAAATTAAAAATGTCCAATTCCACATAATTGTCAAAACTTTGCATGTGATTTAGCATTATAGTGGGTTGGGGTTTTTTTTGTTTTTTTGGTTTTTTCTGCAATGGTTGGACTCGCTGACTTTAAGCAAACCTTAAGTCAAGAGCCTGTTAAGAAAGACTTATGTTTCTATTCCTCATCTTCCAATTTTGCTTTAGTTTTATTTAATTGCCTACATTAGGATCACAGGAAAGGATAAGAATTAAAGCAGAAAAGTCCTAACTTGACTGGTACTGAGCTTGACATCTCTTTAAAGCTGTGAGGGAAAAAAGGGGATTCTAGGGAAAGTAACCTCACATGGTGATCTGATCATAAATTCCTAACTGGGCAAGTTGTGGTGAGTAGTCACACCGCAGGCATATAATTTCTTTAGTAAAAGGCTTGTCTTCGCCTTAAGCAAACTCTGTCTATTGTTTCTGTCCATGTAGGTTAACACCTTTGAAATGCCTCTTTCAGACCCCTCCTTCTAAAGCTGGACCACCCTGGAATGAGCACATAATCTTAACTATCAGTGTAATCTCATTCCCACCAAGCTTTCTCTTACATTTATGTAATCTTCCTTACCGCCCCTCCTTAATTCCAAATACAAAAGAGAAGCTGCAAATTGTCATTCTAAGAAGCATTTTTCTCAGTCTGTTGAAATCTTGCTTCCAGGCATATCCTCTGTTTGACTCAAATAAATGTTTATTAAAATTCTCACGTTTGGACGTTCTTAGGTCGACAAAACTGCCTATCCTCCAAAGGCCACCCAACCGGAACACTGAGGACCTCTTCCTTGCATTCCATTAGATGCAGGTGATACATTCTCCTCAGATTTTTGCTTACTGAGCCCCTAGGCATCAAGTGATTATTCTCCCTTCTCTCTGCAGGGTCTCAATGGTCCTCCTGGACAGAATTTTAAATGACCCATTTTCTCTTATGTTTTTGCTCATTCTATGTCTGACTTAACAGAAAATGCTCTTGCTTGCTGTGCCCTTTCATGTTGTGGGGGTGCAGGACAGTCAACACTGTCACCTCTCTTTGGATCATAGACCAGCAACGAGCCAAGCCTAACAACTGCACTTCTGACTCCTCAAATGGAAGTCAAAAACCAAGCCAGCACACTGTGTCCCCAGCTGCTGGGACCCACTGATGTTTGACTTACCAGGCTTGAAATAACAGTCAGGAACTGTTAACTGATGTCGCCTAAAACAGGGAAATGAGAGAAGGAACGTCTTTGCAATGCCCACTCTAAGAGCCCACTCAAAGATACCTGTTTCTCTTTAAAAAGTACCTTTTTATAACTGTCATTTACTACTCTTAAGACTCTGAATCTACATGTAATTGTGAAGTTACCTGTTAATTGGTAGGCTTTTTATCATCTACATCTTGCATGTCATTTGTACCTAGACATGAAAATAATTTCTGTCCTTTAGATAAAATAATCCTAGGAGTTTGGGTTTTATTGTCTTGTAGTACATTAACCAGTTTTGTATTTAACCTAAAAATCATATACCAAAATTTTTTGTCAATGTCTATATATAGTCAGCCTATCAAATTTTTTTTGAACCAGTTTTAGCATTCTGGTGGCTTCCTAATAAATTAAATAAACTGTGAAACAAGTACATTTTATATTTATAGAACATCATGTTCTTAACTATTGAAATAATTTTTGAGAGTACAACGCCTTACCCTTTTGAAAGAGATGGAGCACATAATAAACCAGTAACTTTCTGAAAGTACTCTTTAAATTTTCTCTCCACTTCTTGCCTCCTCAAACTTTTTATAGACAGAAGTTGATGGTCAGTTCAGGACTGCAAAAAAAGTTTTCTATCATCTCCTTTTTACAAGTCCTGCAATATAGCCTTAGTTTGAAATGAAATATCTACTTTCTTCATGCTTTGGCAGACATTGAATATAACATCTTATTACATGCATATGGGATATTTCAAATTGTCAAGGATAACTGAGCTTTAGAGGTAACATAAAATTACAAAAAGATTTCTCAAACAGCTAAATTAGTGTGATGTAAATATATTTAAATGTGTCTGAGGGATAAACTTAAAAAAAGAAGAAACTTGTAGTCAGGAGGTGACATTGTCCTTTTATAATTTTTTTAGCATTGTAATTTCTGGCTGTCATCCAGGATGCAGAATTCTTCAGCAAATAAATTTCCATAATAAAAGGCAATTATTACTGATGTTTCACAAGTGGAGGAAAATCATCATGGCATATTATAAATTTCTGCTTCCTGTAATGTGCAGTTCTTTCTCAGTTAAAAATTAATGTATAGGCTTGTCGGATGGGCATAGTTTCATTTAATAAAGATTCATCCAATACCTGCTCTGTCCCAGGCACTGCCCTAAAATGAATACAAAGGGGAACAAAGACTGCATCTGCCTTTGAGGAACCCACTGTCTATGGAGGAAAGTGAGGGTTTACAAATAATCAGTATATAATGTAGCAACTATGTATTCACAATGTGTGGGAGCAGGACACATTTGTTGTATGGCCAGAATTTCTAGATGGTTCAAATATAATATATGTGGCAGGGAGGTAAGGATGAAAAGTTGTTCCATGGACAAATTTAAAGGCACCACAGACATTACCCTGTTCACAATGGAAAATTGTTTTTAAAACAGAAAATAATCATCTCTGCATGCTTATAGAAGCATCTTTCAAAGATTATTCTTGTGTCAATGTCAACATAGAACAAAAAGAGAAGATGAAGACAAAGGAACAAGTTTAAAATATGGTTATCTTAGTCCGAGATAAAAATGTTGAATCTGGAATAAATCAAGCAGAGGGCACAGGCCAAGTGAAATAGATTCAAGGGGATTTCTTCAACTCCAGCATGACTTGGAGACTAAAGAAATGTGGTTGT